TCATCATCATCATTATTATTCGAATCATCATTATCATTATTATTATTATTCAAAATTGTTATTATTATACGAATTTGTAGAAATTAATAGTAATCGGTTCCTTCGGAAGGAACAGTAGAGTCTCAGAATGAAGTTTGAATTCTTCTTCTGAAAGATTCGGACGTCGGCGTAGAATGGAAGAGAAGCGAAACTAAGGCCTCGTATAGAGACGTGTTTTATTTTTTCTTTCGATAAAATTTTGATGTTGTACCGGCCGATTGAAATTATACCGTGTGATTTCTCAGACACACTGCCGCCTTATTTGGTCACAAAGGGAAGCGTGTTTGTAACGAGCACTGCGACCACGAACACACTGCCTTCTACCACCGCCATAACTTCGCGGCCAACGTTCGCACCGCCAGAACCAACGAAACCGCCTGTACCAAAGTACAAGAGGGGAAAGGTAAACCGAAGAAACGTTCTCCGAAATGTGTGAATTGCTCGACTGTTAAAAGGCTAATTGAAATTAATATTCAGCGCAGTTACAATTAGAAAGGAAAAGAGAAACTTATAGAAATAGAAATATTTTCACCGAGAAAGAGAGAGAGATATATATAATATTCAAAGAATTATTCGGCAGGAACTAACTTTCATGGAATCTGGCTACGAAAAGACTTTCATGTTCGCGCAAAGTAACACGTTTATTCAGCTAGACGGCAGCGGTATAAAGCCCTTCCAACTACGGTGAGTGATCATGACCGAAGTACTTCAAAGAATCGCACGTGTGAATCATGTTTTTCATATCGAAAGATCATCCTCATTTGACTCCTTGTTTTATATTTCACGTGTAAGGCAAATTTTTTATTCGAAGAAGCAGCTCGTGATAAGTCATTTGAACGCTGGATCGATTAAAGAGCATAAGTGTTCTTCTTTTCATTCTCTATGAAATTTCTAAAATTTCTAAAACTTATGAACTGGCCATTTTGATGGTACCAGTGTCGAATCGTCTTTTCTTTTGTCCCCGAAAGCAATCGAATTGACACGAGTCAGAGAATCCTTCAGCTACTTTTTTGCGAAAAAAACTACATTTTTGCAAACTGTGATTTGCAGACTGTGCCGCGAGATATCCTTCAAGTTTCGGACGAAATTACCCCACGGTCTGCTTGTGTACCACAGCGTGAAGGATCGGCCAGAGAGTCTAGACCCTTACGCCTTGTACGTGATCGTGGAGAAAGGACAGCTGAAAGTGGTGCACGTGTTCGGGAAGCGGTCGACCAGCCTGACCGTCGGCGAAGGGCTAAACAGGGACGAATGGCACAGCGTCCTCGTGAGAATCGACGTTCACGGAGCGAAATTGATCGCCAGAGTGGACGATAAACAGGAGGAGACCACGCTCGAAGTTTTAGAACACGTGGTCAATTACGGGGTGTCCGAAGAACTCGCCTCTGTCGTCCTTATCGGAGGTAGTAAAACCTTCCTCTTACGAAACTACTTTCGGTCGCGAGAACTTCCCAACAGGAATTTAAGTAACTGAAAGTTCAATTCGAGAGATAATACGTCAACAGCGTCACGTATCGCAAAGTGTCAGAAAA